ATATGCTTATTTATTATAATTGAGTTACAGTAAGTTAAACAATATAAAATATTATGTTCCAGGCAATAGGTCTTATATGATATGTATCTTATGTATATCTTGTATTTTGCAGCATGTTAAAGAATATTTCTGCATGGTGCACTCTGACTGTTGACAATATTTGCATATTGATATGAGTAAAAGTGACTTCAACAACCAGAATGTGTTTTTGATAAATATTAATAATAACAGGTTAGTAAATATAATTATAGTAATAATGGCAATAACTTTTTATTATTAGAATTAGTGAGAGACTTATGTATAATAGAGCTACATTAACTTTGGGAGACAAATATAATAACTTGAGTAAATATTACCGTTGTTTATAACCTCGATTAGAGTAATGTAAGTAAATATTATTTTTATCTAAAGAATATTCGACAAAAGTCAGTATTTCCTAAGTATTAAATATTATAAAAAAACATGTTTAAAAAAAATTTTTAAATGTATCATAAAATAAAAAAATAAGTATTTGAGTATAAAAAAAAACACATTTATTATTATAATGTATATACATCACATTGGCTATGTTGTCTATAAAGTTGAGGTTGCAGCTGATATTTCAGCTTCAGCTATAAACTCATTAGCTTCAGATTAATGCTGAAGCTGATCAAGTCAGTTTAATCATCTTGATAGCTGATAATAAAAGAGAATATTTCTCCATAAATATTTTATATAAAATATATTTTTATATAAAATATTTATGGAGTTAAAATCTAAAATAGTGACAAAATTTAAACATACATGTAAATTTTAAATAAAATTTGCCAAATGTTGTTGCTATTTATAAATGTTGCCATCAGAGCCTAGGCCTAGGACTTACAATATTAGGGGACCCAAATTATGTTTTAAGAAATTTGTTTAAAAAGTGGTGCCCAAAAATCTAATTCCATTTTTAATTATCTTAAGGGGACCAACTATTTTTTGTTCAAAAAGAGTACACTTTGCAAGTATTTCATAGGTAAAAAAAAAAGGTAGATAAAAAACTTTATTTTTTTTTTAAAACATATTTTTCGTCAGAGTGGATTTTTTTGCTAGATGAGGATGTTCATCTAATAATGTAGCTGCATCCAAACATATTAAATTTCATATTAAATTTGACTGTTAAAACGGCATATAATGTTTTTACAGAAAGTTGCAACTTCTCACTGCTCCAATAATCATTCCTTAGTAAAAATACTTTTTCAACAGCAGCATTAGTACCTGGACAACATAAAGAAATTTCTGTTAAAACTTTTAAATTTTCATGTGGGATATGTTCTACTCTAAAATCATTTTAGATAAGTAGATGGGTAAAAGATGGGTAGAAATCTTTCGGCATTTTAAATGCCGAAAGATTTCTACCCATCTTTTTTCAAGTTCTATTTTCTCATTGTTTCATTTCTTCAATTTTTCTTCATTTAAAAATAAATTTATTCTTCCAATTTCTTCAAAAAGAAAATTGTCATTAATAACAATATCTTTTACTTCCTTTATTACAAATTCGACTGCTGAAGAAACTTTTTTCCATTAAATTTTACTATTTATAAGGGTCCATTTAAAACAATTCAATGCTCTTAAGTTCATTATCCATTCTTCGGTATATTCATAGCAAATTTTATAAAAAATTTTAACTTCTTTTAATTTTTTTTTTTCCCGGGATTGGAATCTTCCAAAGCAGTCAGTTTATAGGCTTTAATATAGACTTTAATATTGTATATAGTAGTGTATGTATATATTTTTTTATTTAAATTTGCCTTTAATTTGTTTTTTTTATTTTTCTGCAAAAAAATTTTTCTGTCACTTTATCCTTCTGAACTTATGTGATTAGGTTTTTGTTTTCTCTTACATATTTTCTCACTCATCTTATCTCATCCGTTCATTTTCTCTTTTTTTTTTCATTTTTCTTAGCGTTACTCTTTTATATTTTTGTGTTAATTCCAACTTTTTAAATAGTATTGTTCCTTATACTTTTTTTTTTATTACTTGTATTAATGCAGTTTTCTTTCTTTCTTCTTATTTTTTATTTTATTTGTTTATTTTATGAAGGTGTTGCTCCATTGACTTGTTTTTAATATGAGTGACACCAAACATAAATTTGTAAATTATAATTAAGTTTGTAATTTTTGATTTTATGGTTAATTAACCATAAGCGCATGCGTAGTATGTACAGTAAGGTTTTTGTTATCCTTTTATTTAATTAAATAAATGGATAAAAAACTTTGCTGTACATACTACGCATGCCTCAAGACTGTCAAGCATGGCATACATACTGCACATCAAAGATCAGCCTGGGGATTACATATGCAAATGTTGGATCCATCTCTTTTCACAAATTTAATTTTGACGTTGTTAGAAAAAGAGGTCTGTAGTATCTATCTATCTATCTCTCCGGGTTCATAATACGGCCTCTCAATAGTGTTAAAAATGGCAGCCATATGTGCCTTCAAAATTTAAATCACTGTCAAACTTGTATCTGGTGTTTGCCCTGTCCTCTGACATGCTGGAAACGGCTAGCAATATGTGCGCATGAAATTCAAATCACTGTCAAAATAATTTTAAATATTTAATTAATAAAATTGAAAGGAAATAATATAAAAAAAAAATGTTTTAGAAATACAAATGAGTACAAAATTATACAAATGAGTACTTTCAGAGTACAGGATTTGAAAAAAGTATGGTTTGTGAAAAAAGAGTGAAAAAACTCAGTAAATGAGAATAGCAGGTCACCTTAATTGTCTACATAATTTTTTGGTAGATTTCAAAGTTCTTGCAAAAGATGGTTTTATCTATGAAAATATTGAGTTTAAAATCAATCTTGCTGTTATCATATGTGATGCACCAGCTAGAGCATTTGTAAAGTGTATTAAAGGACACAATAGTTATAACTGATGTGAATGTTGTGCTTAGAAAGGAGAGTGGTGTGGCAAGATAATTCTCCTACATATTTCACTAATTTTGAGCACTGATTCAGATTTTTTGTCATTAAAAGCATTCTAAACATCTTAGTGGTGTGTTAAATTGAATTAAACTTTGACATGGTGACAAAGTTTCCTTTAGATATAATGCATCTAGTATGCTTAGGGGTAATGCGAAGATTTCTCAACTTATGGTTAAATTGCCCAAATGTTGTAAGTTGTCTCAGATTACAGTCAATACTTTATCTGGCGGATTGTTCCAGATACGTCATTACATTCCAAGAAATTTTTCTAGAAAATCAAGGTTTTAATTAGATATTAAAAAATGGAAAACAACTGAGCTTAGACTATTTATAGTAAACACTTGACCAGTTGTTCAAAGGGAATGGTTAAGCCAAAAATGTATACAATTTTTTAGATTTTTCAGTTGTAGTTCTACTTTCATAATGTTTCATTTTGTAGAAAAAATATGTTAATTTTGCTTTTCAGCTACTTATTTTTATATGTGAACTTTATCATAAGGATCAACTAGTGTACAATGTCCATTCATTAGCACATATAGAAAATAATGGAGTTAAATTTTAGGTACTTGATAGATGTCCCTCTTTCAAATACAAAACTTTTTCAGGTCAATTAAAAAATGTTTGTCAAGGGGGCTCATTTGCAAATTTAGGGGCCCTTTTACAAATGTAAGGATTTTTTTTTTTTTAGGATTTTTATTTAGATTTTTATTTAGTTTTTAGGAATTTTGGGGCCCTTATGACAGGTTTTTTTTTGGAATGGGGGGCTTGTATCTAGTGCCATGTTTGTATCTACTTGCCATGGCACTTGTATCTAGTGCCATGTTTGGAATGGGGGGCTTGTATCTAGTGCCATGCTTGTATCTACTTGCCATGGCACTGTATATAAGGTATATACAATATATATCAAGTTATATACAATATAAATAAAAAAATATATTTGTTTAATAATTTTATATAATTTATTTATCAGTAACTAAAGGAATGTTATCAATTTATTATATGAATCATAAGCATGTGCTTATCTATTACAAGTACCTTTGATGGTGAAAATTACATTTTTTATCTGAAGAGAGTTGGGAGAAATGGTAAGAGTTTTATAACATATTAAAATTAATGTATGTGTTACCAATAAAATTTAAAACTAACAGTTAAACTTAATTTTTTACAGTTCATATTGAAACGAGATATAGTGTAAAGAGGTTTTTAAAGAAGTCGTTTTAACAACAATGGAAAAGCTTCCGATTTCCGAGATAAACGTGAAAGCATTTGATACATGATTAAAGAATCGTTTAAAAGTTTGCTTAATTTTGACAGTGTAATTTTAGTTACTATTTTTTTTGAAATAAACCAATCAATTTATATATAAATTTGCTTTTTCTGTAAATTTTAAACATTTAAACGTAGTTTTGCAAGATTTGCAATAAGTAAACTTCGTGGAACTCTCATGGGATATCCGGCGGGCATACCATATGGACCCCAGAAGAAAACCGCGGCCATGATCCGGCGGGTTCCTGATGGGTTTTCCATATGGGTCCCATTTGCAAACCCAAATGGGTCCCTTACGGTTTTAAAGTACGGGACTTGACTGGGACCCATACGGGATACCCGGCGGGCTAACCCATATGGATCCCATATGGAAACCGCGGGATCATGATCCGGCGGGATACCGTTGGTCTTCCCATACGGGACCCAGTTGACGACCCGTATGGGCCCCGTACGGTACCCGTATGTCAATGTTGGCTGGATATATATTCGGGGCTTAATAGCCTCAATGTGACTAGAATAATTAAAACATTGTCAAAACCTGAATAAGCTTTTAGTATTAATCAACTAAGGCTAATATTTAACTGGAGTATGGCTTGATAAAACAAAATTAAAGCCTAGAGTAGGTACTAGTACGATTACCATCTATAGTTTACAAACTTATTATGTACCTAACCAAAAATAATGGTTTTGTATCAGAGTTTACCTTTTTTTCTGTAGCCCAAATAAATTAAAAGATAAAGTCACGTATAAAAGAAAATATTAGCTACATACTCACCAATGTTGAAGAGCAAAGATATTGAAATTTAAATATCTTTTATATCAACTTTGCAAAGACAGCTTGATGTTGAATCTTTTGCTAACGCAGACCAACTACATTTCTGATAATCAATTACCATGTTTTCAACTCTGAAAAAAGTTTGTTGCAAGTTACAGTTTCGTCACTCCTCAGAGACTTTTTCTAAAATTAATATAATATTTACACTTTCCTTTTCAATAACCATTATATTTTCTTGTTATATAATATTGATTGTTCTAAAAGTTAAGCTCAAATTATTTTACTTACTTAAAAAATTCGCACTACAAGCTAGATTATTTTCAAAACAATCTTCCTTTTATAAATACCAACAATTTCCATTACTTTATATCACAAATTTCTATGGCAACATATTCTGCATTCCAATTCATAAAGTCTGCCATTAAATCAATGTTTTAAATAACCTTATTATTTATCTAAATGATAAATCTTTCACAATACACAACAACATTGAAAGAGTTATATGCTAACAAAATACTTCTTAAACGATTCTTAAAACAACATATAAACTGATTTAGATAGAACATGTAAGGAGTAATATGCATATCGACTGACTTAGGGAGAACACGTAAGAGAGTTGATAACACATCAAAGGGTTTGAGTTGGGGCAGGGTTAAGTTAGGATTAGGGTTAGGTTGTACAATGTCCCCCTAGGTTAGGGACTCTATCACCTATAGGTTTGGTTTGGACCAGCAATCTTTTAGTTAAAAGAAGGAAATAATAATAACATTTTAATTTTATTCTGTTCTTAGCTTTTACCTTTCAGTCAACATAACGTGGAATAAATATATGCTAATGTGTAAGGATCGTTTACGGGAGATACTAGCTATATGAAAAGCTAAAAAACACAATTTTCTTTTAACTTACAAAAATGCCCAATTAAAAAAGAAAGACACCACTTTTAAAAAAATTTTTATGCAAGTAAACTATATTTCCTTAAGGGACTACAAGTGAGATTTAACAAACATCAATTTGAAGAACTATCACAGCCAACATTGACATATGGGTACCGTACGGGGCCCATACGGGTCATCAACTGGGTCCCGTATGGGAAGACCAACGGTATCCCGCCGGATCATGACCGCGGTTTCCATATGGGACCCATATGGGTTAGCCCGCCGGATATCCCGTATGGGTCCCAGTCAAATCCCGTACTTTAAAACCGTAAGGGACCCATTTGGGTTTGCAAATGGAACCCATATGGGAAACCCATCGGGAACCCGCCGGATCATGGCCGCTGTTTTCTTCTGGGGCCCATATGGGTATGCCCGCCGGGTATCCCGTGAGGGTCCCACGAAGTTTACCCATTGCAAATCTTGCAAAACTACGTTTAAATGTTTAAAATTTACAGAAAAAGCAAATTTATATATAAATTGATTGGTTTATTTCAAAAAAAAAATAGTAATTAAAATTACACTATCAAAATTAAGCAAACTTTTGAACGATTCTTTAATCATGTACCAAATGCTTTCACGTTTATCTCGGGAATCGGAAGCTTTTCAATTGTTGTTAAAACGACTTCTTTGAAAACCTCTTTACACAATATCTCGTTTCAATATGAACTGTAAAAAATTAAGTTTAACTGTTAGTTTTAAATTTTATTGGTAACACATACATTAATTTTAATATGTTATAAAACTCTTACAATTCCCCAGGTTATTCGGCCCTGATAAAAACCAGATAAAACCCTAACGAGCAAATATGCTTGATTTTATTACCATATGGGACCCGTCTGGAAACCAAAACACTTACCTGTCAAAATCCCGTTCCCGTAAGCCCAGACAAAAACCATACGGTACCCGTCTGTCAATGTTCGCTGGGATGGAACTTTGTTTCACTTTTTTGTACAAAAATCCCCAGTTTTTTGAAAATAAACTTTATTAATAAGCCAATATTTCTTTCAAGATCTTTAAGGTTAATAGTTTTAAGTTGACTTTTACTTTAGTATTTTCTAAGCACAATAAGATTCTTTAAAAAACTCTCAAAGGAAAGCCAAAAACCTTTTAGATTTATGATGTAAATCTAATTCTTTATATAGACTGTAAACACAGACTTTCAGGTTATTTTCTTTTTAGGAAATGGTAAAAGGTATTGAGACTTTAAGCATAATAGCAAGTGTTTTCGCATCTTTAATACATCGAAGTTTGTCATTATTGCTGGTTTACCAGCTAATATTTCGGCTGCAAAGGCAACAGCAAACAGGTCGCAACTGTTTTCATCAGTCTGTTTTTGTACAGGAAGAAAATTTATAAGTAAATCTTCATTACTATTAAGATTATTTTTATATAAAGAATTAACACATTTTATAGAAACAAGGTTCAGTGATGTATAAAGAACATCACAAATATTGACTTTTCTATTTGAGCAAAATGTAAGAAACCAATGACATGAGTCATTATGCATAAGTTGAATGTGTTTATTATTGACTGGCTGGTATGGACTATTTGAACATTTTTGAACGTTTAGTACCGATTGGAATTTTGCACTTGGTCCCAGCTGTTTACAAATGAGCATTTGGGCAGCATCTGTGATGCTATCATTTAGCTAGGAGTTATGACTTAACAAAATCTGTTAATCTTCTGTTTTAAGATAATAAAGATATGGGAAGTCTAACCGTGGGGGTTCAGGTTTTAAGTCCTCTTTTGCATTAACTGATATAATTGTCTGATGTGATTTCCAAAATATTCACTCAACTGTAAACCAAGAGAGTTTTTCTGCTCAAATAAAAATCCATGTTAACTTCCATTTACTATCATTAATAATATTGTATAAGCTGGTACTAACTGCGCTACAGGAACCAAATATCTTCAATAACCTTTGAACACTTACCTTTAATATATTTTTATATCGCATTAAACTTGAAAACTTATGATCTCTGAATTTAAGGAAAATACGAAGAAGATGAAACTTCTTTATTATCAACTTTTTTATTCTTTTCATTATTATCAACAAAAGATTTGAGCAAAGTGACATTGTATTTTGTCTTTAAAATGTTACCCTTTTGGTTAACCAAACAGCACAGGTTGTTTTTAGGGTAGCATGAAAAAATCCCCCGGGAAAAAATCCCCTCGGAAAAAATGCCCCCGAAATAATCCCCCTCCCCGAGAAAAAATCCCCCCGGAAAAAATCCCCCCCCCCGGGAAAAAATCACCCGGAAAAAATCCCCCCGAGAAAAAATCCCCCCGGGAAATATCCGCCCAAAAAAAGAAAATTTTTTTTTTACATAAAAATTATCAACAATATAGTTATATTTATTTATCTTAAATAGTTTTATAAAATACTTCATTTTTCATCAAAATGTAAGGTTATGCGCTATTTCTCGGTTGTCAGTAAAAAATAATAATAAAAAAAAACTCTCTAATTCCTAATATTCTGTTTTAAAGCTTTATTTAAAATAAAATTATTATTTTTTTAACTGTAAAACATGCGCGGAGTATTGCTACATCGACTATCTTATAGCCTGACTCGCAACGAAGTGCTGCTACATCGACTGAGGGTTTGGGTTGGGCAGGCAGTCTATCGAATAATTAAAAAATATATATATATATATTTTCATATTGTTTTCGTCTAGTTTCACTTAATTTCCTTTTATTTTTTTTAAATATTTTTTTCGCTTAAAAGTCCTTAAAATATACCGCTAAATTAACTACGATGGTTCGCAAAAAAGTTCACATTTTACCAGTTCGCAGTTTGTCAGGGTTAGGGTTAGGGTTTCACATTCGCTACCTTCGAGGAATAGCGCATAACTTGACATTTTGATGAAAAAGGAAGTATTTTATATAAATATTTAAAATAAATAAAGAAATAAACATAACTGCATATTGATAATTTTTATGTAAAAAAAATTTTCTTTTTTGGGGGGGATATTTCCCGGGGGGATTTTTTCCCGGGGGATTTTTTCCTAGAACCGTTTTTAGAAATGGAATGAACTGTGTATGAACCAAGCCATTTAAATGAAAATTTTCCTCCTTTTCTATTCATTCTTTTTTGATTTTTTAAAAGGACTTTTTGACCGACTCCGATCAAAAGAGGTACTTGATGACGTTTATTGTAGTCTTTGCGCTTTTTATATTGAGCAGTTTAAATATTGTTGTATGCACTTTTATAAACTTCTTCTCTTAAAGTAATAGATGAGACAAGAACTGCATTAAAAGCTTCTCTATCAAAAGGTTCCATTTCATGTTCCTTAATATCAACTAATTCATATTTAATATCTACAGGTAAAGTTGGTTCTCGGTTATATATAATAAAAAAAAGATGAATACTGGGTTGAAGTGGGCCATTGCTTTAATTTTTGCATCTTCTCTAAGACCAGAATGAATGTTAGATATTATCTTTTGCTGTTGATCTTTACAAGCATAGACTAACTTTTCACTGCGGTACATTAATTGGCCACAAACAATTCTAATATGTTTGCAAGCTTTTCGAAGGTTAGAATTTTTCCTTTACATAGTTTTATATTGTTTAAAATCAATATGTCGTACCATTTTACTTTTAAAAAAAGTATAGAATATTGATGTCGTAAAATTGTTAACTATTTGTTATAAGAGATAAGTTCGATGAATAAAATATACTATAAAATAATGTTCCACGTAGTTCGATTCAGTACAACTTATTACCTGTATTTCAAATACTATTAAATTAAAAACCACAACATAATTCCTCGCAAGAAAACACAACAAGAAATTTTATTCATCTATCTCATCATTAAACTAACTTCTATTTCACCTCCTTCTTACAAAATCAATCGATAATTTATATTGTACTACAAACCTCAAATATTCCTTTAAAACCGTGTAAACAAATTAAATATAGTTACTAATTAAAAGTTATGCTAATCACAAACCGCATAGTTGTCACTAACTATTTTTAGAGTCTACCACAACATAATTACACTCCTCCTTGATCCTCAAAGATCACACAAACCATCAGTCATTCAAGACATCAGCTCTCATAACTTCATCCGCCGTTTCAAATTTAACCGTTTTTACGTTCTTCGTTCTACAATCTTTGTTCTACGATCTTCGTTCTACGATCTTCGTTTTACGATCTTCGTTCTACGATCTTCGTTCTACGATCTTTGTTCTATGATCTTCGTTCTACGATCTTCGTTCTACGATCTTCGTTCTACGATCTTCGTTCTACGATCTTTGTTCTATGATCTTCGTTCTACGATCTTCGTTCTACGATCTTCGTTCTACGATCTTCGTTCTACGATCTTCGTTTTACGATCTTCGTTCTATGATCTTCGTTCTACGATCTTCGTTCTATGATCTTCGTTTTACGATCTTCGTTCTATGATCTTCGTTCTACGATCTTCGTTCTACAATCTTTGTTCTACAATCTTTGTTCTACGATCTTCGTTTTACGATTTATCTTTTTCCGTTACGGCTTCATCTTTCTCTTTAGCCC